TTCATCAAAAATATCTTAAATTGTGTTCTGAAGATGAACGAAGGTCTTACGGGTTTGGAACAACACGAGGGTGAAATAATTAATGACAGAATTTTTATTTTTGGGTGAACTAACCCTTTAATAATAAATGGAAATATTTAGTCAGATTTTTAACTTTTAGGTTTTATATATATATATATATATATATATATATAGAGAGAGAGAGAGAGAGAGAGAGAATTTTTATTTTAATTGAAAAAACATTATTGCTGGGTACAAGAAAATAGCAACAAAACAGCTGTAAAACAACTAGATTTCTTAGTAAATAATCAAAATAATGGCAAGGATCATGTAAAAACAACTTTTTTTACATCAACAACACCAAACAACGTTTGCCCATGTCATGTAGGCATCTGAATAATAATATAACGATAATTTAATTTGGATTAATTGTGCAGTAAATAGACATATATTGATGTACATGTAATCAATGCCAATGTTTGTATGATCTGTTGCTCAAATGCAGTCGATAGGTGTTGTTTGAAAATGCCATAGGCCTGACTCAAGGACAAGTGTCAAGTAAGAATAAACACATCTATATGCACACACCCAGAACAAAGCAGCATCTACTGTGATGGCATCACTCTATGCCGTCATAAGACACCAATGGGAAATTCCAACATGACACAATCAATGGAAACAAAAGCCCTGCCCTGAAGAGCAACATCAGCTAAACAAGGTTTCTCGTACCCTCACCTATGAGTGGATTATGCTTGCTGTCACTAAAAAAATCATGCAATTCTCTATAGGTAATATTACAAGCTAGATTTTTTGACTTTTAGCAAGTCTGATGCATGCGAGTTGTGCTTATACAAGTCTGGGCTGCATTTCCCAAAAGCATCATAAGCCAAAGTACATCGTAAGATCAATTGCCACCAATGGTCTCTACGATCAACTTTTCTCACAATGCTTTAGAGAAATGCAGCTCTGGACATTTACAGTTCTTGCAGTTCTCTTATTAAGACACAATGCTTGTGAAGTTTGGCAATTGCAGATACTATTTTTCTTCCCTCAGAACTTCCAACAAACATAAAAACATCCACTGAGCAAATTACGTGCATTTGTCTTTAGATTAGGTTAGGATGACAGCATGTAGGTTGTATATTTTACTGATACATGCATCTGAAACTGTGACTGAGAGGAAAACTAATGCTAACAGATGAGATCTGCTTTGAACAAACAGGTAAGTGTATTTCTCACTGTTAAGAGCACTTCAAAACAACATCAGGCACTGATAAAACATCTACAAAAACATAACTAAGTTTTAGTGATTTATATTTTGATTGCAAAGAATTGTATGATATATGGATTTGAACAGCTGTGAATGAAGACAGGTGTCGTTTGCCCCCATAATATAGAAGCAACTAGCAGGGATTGACTGCTAAACCAGCTAGTACTGCTAACCAGCTAGTAACTTCCTACAGGCTGCTGCGCATTAAACTATTGAAAGCCACAAGGGCCAAAATCGTTAAGTGTTTTCAAATAGTGTTTACTGCCAGCTGAGATTAGTGGGGCCCTTTTAGTTTTTGTTTTATTAAAATTCAAATATTTACTTTATAAAAATGACTTATTTTCTTACTTTAAATTCTAATTGCATGAGCCGTGTTCGAAATGCAGATAAATGTACACCTGTGATTGCACATTATAAATAAGGTGCCAAGTTGCTACATTGCTTTTCAGATTTCAGTTAGGCTAATAAGACAAAATTATTCAGATTTTTTTATTAATGAATAATATTTTGAATATAATTCATGAATAATAATATTTAATAATGAATATTATGAATGAAAAGTTTATAAAAGTTATATACTTTTATAAAATATTTTTTACATTACATTATTTTATAATATAAACATTTATTTATTTTTATATATTTTATATTATGTTTATTTTATTTAAATAGTTTTTAGATTTTTAATATATTTTATATTAATATGTGCCCTGGACTATAATTGCTCTGCAACTTTTATATTTGTATATTACATTATTTTATTTTTTATTGTACATTTTTAAATATTATTTCTAATATATTTTATATTATTTTATAGAATATAGAATTAAGAATGTACCTTGGACCATACACATAAATACACTGATTATTATTTAATAAATGTAGATATTTCAACATCTTTTTAATTTTATATTTTTATATTAAGATTAAGAAATTTAAGAGAGTTTTAGACTCTGTTTTACCTCATAAGAACACCCCTAAACATGAGGTAAAATCGCTGTAATTTAAAGTCTCTTGTGGCTTATTGTTTTTTATTAGAGTAAAACATATCACAATATTCATAAATAAATCATTTTGCAATATTTAAATAACTGCCATTGGTCTCACCTCATCAGATTGAGTTTCTGGCTCCAGCAGGTCCTCTGGTTTGGACTCCTCAAATAAATATGTTTGCTTTCTGCTTTCGGTCGAGTTCTGTGGACTGGAAGCTTCAGGTTCAAATCCGGTCAGATCATGCACATATACCTGATCTCCGCATGGTTCTTGGGATCCAGGATCACTGGACTTTGGTTCTGGGTGTAGACTGTGGTCAGGAGCAGCAGGAGGTTCTCTGGATGGAGACGGTGTTGAGGAACGTCTCGCCCCGGTTCCCCATCTTCGGGGTTTCACTGAAAAGTCATCATAAATCACTTCAGTGAGCCGAGGCGAGACGGCAGCGGCCTGGACGGTGGAGACGAGAGTCTGTGACGCCGCCGGTCCCTCCGCGTCAAACGATATTAAATCATAACTCGTAGGAACTTCCTCTCGTAATCTCTCTGCTGCTTTACATGTTTCCATCTCCATCTCATTTTCTCGTTCTTGTCTCAATCTGTCCTCCTCTTTCTGTTTCTCCAACTCCTGAATTCTTTGTCTCTCCTCTTCCATCGCTTTTTCTTTCTTTAGTCTATCTCTTTCTCTTTCCTGTCTCAGTCTTTCTTCTTTCTGTCGCTCCTCTTCCATTAGTTTTCTTTCTTCAATTTCTCTCTCTTTCTGTAGTCTCTCTATTTCTCGCTCCTGTCTCAGTTTTTCCTCTGTTCTCTGTCTCTCCATCTCCTGAATTCTTCTCCGCTCTTCTTCCATCTCTTTTTCTTTCCTTATTCTTTCCAGTTCTTGTTCTTTTCTCAGTCTTTCCTCCTCTTGTTTCTGTCTCTCCATCTCTTGAATTCTTTGTTTCTCTTCTTCCATCTCTTTTTCTTTCCTTATACGTTCCAATTCTTGTTCTTGTCTCAATCTTTCCTCCTCTTTTTGTCTCTCCATCTCCTGAATTCTCCGCTCTTCTTCCATCTTTTTTTCTTTCCTTATTCTCTCTAATTCTCGCTCTTTTCGCAGTCTTTCCTCCTCTTTCTGTCTCTCCATCTCTTGAATTCTTCTCCTCTCCTCTTCCATCTCTTTTTCCTTCTGTAGTCTCTTTTTTTCTCGTTCCTGTCTCAATCTTTCCTCCTCTTTCTGTCTCTCCATCTCTTGAATTCTTTGTTTCTCTTCTTCCATCTCTTTTTCTTTCCTTATTCGTTCCAATTCTCGTTCCTGTCTCAATCTTTCCTCTTGTTTCTGTCTCTCCATCTCTTGAATTCTTTGTTTCTCTTCTTTCATCTCTTTTTCTTTCCTTATTCTCTCTAATTCTCGCTCTTTTCTCAATATTTCTTCCTCTCTTTGTCTCTCCATCTCTTGAATTCTTTGTTTCTCTTCTTTCATCTCTTTTTCTTTCCTTATTCTCTCTAATTCTCGCTCTTTTCTCAATATTTCTTCCTCTCTTTGTCTCTCCATCTCTTGAATTCTTTGTTTCTCTTCTTTCATCTCTTTTTCTTTCCTTATTCTCTCTAATTGTTGCTCTTTTCTCAATCTTTCTTCCTCTCTTTGTCTCTCCATCTCCTGAATTCTTCTCCGCTCTTCTTCCATCTCTTTTTCCTTCTGTAGCCTCTCTTTTTCTCGTTCCTGTCTCAATCTTTCCTCCTCTTTCTGTCTCTTTTCTTCCATTAGTTTTCTTTCCTCCATTTCTTTCTCTTTCTTTAGTTTCTCCAGTCTTTCCTCTTCTCTCAGTCTCTGTTTTTCTTCTTGAATCCTTCTCTTCTCCTCTTCGATCTGTCTCTCCCTCTCTTTTTCGGCTTGTCTCCTCCTCTCCTCCTCTTTTCTTTCTTCTTCAATTCTTCTCATTCGTTCTTCTTCTTGCTTTCTCCTTTCCTCCATCTGTCTTTGCTTTTCCTCTTCCTGTTTTCTCTCTTGTTCCTCCTCTTTCTGTCTCTCTATTTCTCTTGCCTCCCTCTCCTCTTCCAAAAGTCTTTCCCTTTCCCGCTGTTGTCTTTCTTTCTCTAACTGCTCATCTTTTCTCTGCTTTTCTTCTTCTTCCCTTCTCTTCTTCTCCGCATCTAGGCTTATCCCAACAGGAATGGCAACATAGTCTTCCTCTTCTTCTACATTCTCCACACTAGCAGCAGAGTTCTTGATTTCTGTCGTACTTGCTGGTTTGTCACCAGGCACCTTTTCTGTTGTTGCAGGTTTTTCAGAAGATCTCTCATTCGGTGGCTCATCTGTGGTGCTCTGTGTCTTCTCGGATGGTGGACTGCAAACATAAGAGTTTGGAAATATGTTACAGCTTTGAAAATACGGACAACATAAGGCCAGAATACATACTTAACATTCCTGCCAACATTTCCATTGGCCCCACCACAAAATAACATTTATTTTGAGCTATTTTTATATTTGCCAAGAATAATATTTATATTTTTCATTAAGTGTTATTATTTTTTGTTACCGCCACAGTAGTACACAAAATAATATTTGCAACAAATTATACATCTCAAAGTTCTTAAACAGCATTAATTCATAAACACTTTTTTCTGATAAATGATTGCATAAAACGTCACTGATTGTCATCTTTGCCATTTCAACAAAATCAGTTAGTCAGCAATCTAACATTATCTTGGTGACAATTCAGCAAAATGTACAAAAATAAAACGTTTAAGTTAATTGCGAAACACGATTCTAAAGAAAAAACCTTTATGTTAGGCTACTAAACAAATGAAAGGAAAGAACATTTTGTCATTTCTGACAAAAATGTTCTTTGCTTCAGACTATTTTAAAAACATATTAAACTGAAAAATTTGTTCTTGAATGATTCCGTTTTTTTTGAACGAATCCATTGAATGAATGGCTCATTGACTCGCTCGCTTGTTTCATTCTTGAATGAACAAGAATGAATCACTTATAAAAAAAAGTCACCTGTCATGATGTTTGTGAAGCTGTTTCATACATAAACATGACAACTGGTCTTTCTGGATCAGCGGCGGTGTTTAAACTTGATTTGATCACCCGTGTGATTGTTGGCTACTTGTCAAATGGTTAAGAGTCATAACAGACATAGCTGAAATGTTTACAAATACAACTGAGTGGGTGTTTGGATCAGGATCACATATATCCATCTTTATGCAATACATAAAAACTGATCAGCAAGATCAATTAATGTAAAATCGACAGTTCTAGTTCTGTCAGTTGAGCCCTGGTATCTGTTTATGTACACAGAGTATGCTTTGTGCATAAGAAACACAAGTATTGAAGCTCAAAATGAAAAGAAGGCTTCACTAACCTTTTTGGAGCACCAGTGGATGGCAAGCGCGTCCTTGGTGCGTCCAAGCTCAGATTCTGGATTCTCTGTTTAATGTCAACAGACATTTCGGCTTGTGGATTGTCTCTTTTGTTGAAGGTGTCCCTGCGCTGAGCTGCTGTAGATCGATCGAAGAGAAGGCTGATCCGTCTCTTAATGCTGCCTCCGCTGACCTCCTCGTCTCTCGTCTCTCCTTTCTCCATCAGAGGCTTTGAAGACCTGGACTCAGAAGGAGAATACGGCGGCCAATCTTTCTCCATCTTGCTGGTTTCAGCATCTCTCCTCACCTCTTTCTCTGGTTGAGACGGTGACTCGAACTTGGAGGTCAGCTCCACGGAGAGACGATTTCGAGGCGGCCAGCATCTTGAAGACATTTTGACGTCCGCTTCAGTCTTGGCTGCTTCTCCTTGGACCTTCTGGCTCAGGATCTTTTGATCCTGAGAACCCAAGGATTTTGCTCTGCTCCTGGGCTGAACGTCCTTCACATCTTCAGCGGTCACACCAGGCTTTGAGTTTGGACCGGTTTGGTTATTAGAACCAGGAGTCTTCGTGGGTTCTGGTTTAGCCTTAGCCATTAAGTCAGGTTTTTGGCTGAGTGGGACGAGTTTAGGATCTGCACTTTGGTTAGAGCCATTTACTGTGCCGTTTGAGCCTAATTTTAGGGATTCTGATGGTTTTGAACCACCAGTACCAGGTTTTGTGATGTCAAAAAGCACTTCAGAAGAGGCGGCTCGATTGAGCTCTCTGCTAAAGTTGGTTTTCGGGGCCCGGATCGGGCGGACGGTGGCGTTCCTTTGCAGGACAAATGGTTTGGGCATGAGGTGGGGTTTTGGGTCCAATGCTGGCTTCCCCATGTCTCCAGGGAGTGCAGAGGCTGAAACTGAAGGTTTGTCTGGGTTAATGAGCGATTGGCCCATTTCCCTTGTGGTCGCCTCCACCCATGCAGCCATGGCTACACACTGCACCTGGATGGGAAAACAAAAGAGAAACACCCCTGTGGGATCTCAGTGGTATTAACATACATCTTTGGGACATTATTATAAACAGAGATTGACGTGTTTGAAAATACCATGACAAAAATAAAATAAAAGTAAAATAAAAAAATAAATGCATGAAAAAATTCAAAATATAAAATAATAAAAAATACAAATAATATAAAATAAATTGAAGATATATTCTCTTTTTATCAAACCTCTTCTCTGCATTCATTGCACTTTTGATCACTTGTTGAATTGAGAAACTGAAAAGAAACCATGTAGAAATGACAGTGTTTACAGTGTATATGTCAGTTTAATCGCACGCAAATGTCTCTGCAAAGGAAAAAAAAAACACTGTGATTTGATTTTTCAAACTTTTAAATAAAACAACAGGAGTATGACATTTTTATATAATATATTCCACCATTTTTTTTTCAATGCAATTAAGCATTATCATTTAGCTAAATGCATAAGTAACTGTCACACATTTAAAAACTCTCCTCTTCTGCAGAGCAAGGGGTTTTGGGGAACATTCAAAGAGGTATATATCTTATTTGAAATAAAGCTAAAATACAATTTTTAGATGAAAAATTGAGTTTAGATGAAAAAACGAAAATTAGACATGTTGCTTTGGTAACTAACTGAAATAAATAAGTTTAAGTAAATAAATAAATATTTTTATATTTGAACAAAAATCACATAAATTACGGAAACAAACTAAAATTAAAATTAAAACAGAAAATATAAAAATAAATTAAAAATATTAATTAACACAATAATAGTATTTAAACTTTTAAAAGCCTCAAAAAATAATTATGCACTGGCATTTATTTATTTATTAAAAATACAAATAATTGCAGTCAATACATGGCTCTGTTTGAATCCCTGTCAATGGAGAAAGATTTGCCTTTGTATAACAGCAGGGGTTTATGGGGCTTGCTAAATATTTGGTAGCATTAGCTTTGATAGTATTAGCCCATAATTCATAAATGGATGTACACTTTGAAAATCCAATGGAAATACCATCCTGACACTTTGGCACACTATTTCTAATGCACTATGACTTGAGACATTTGAAAATGATAGGCACGTGTGTGTAGCAGGACAGTCATGAAAATCTGAGGTTAAATATCAGTCATATTAGATACAAGAACAGCTTGTTAATGATTAGATAGAGTTCTTAGTTCCTTTGTTTGGCACTCTTCAAATTAAATGGCATTGCATTGAAGTTTCTTTTCCTGATATATTCTTTCCTCCTAAAGCAACCTAAAAAATGGCCACACATTGTGCTGATCACTTCAGTGGCTAGCAAGACAACAAGCCCAGAGCTATGAGGAAACCTCTGAGCATCAATATGAATGCAGTACAAGTGAGATAACGAAAGTGTTATGTAATATCCGTGAAGTAGTCAAAGGTTTTTGGATGGTTTAATCAATGTGCATTCTGGAAAGATTTGTTCGAATGTTCTAAGTCAGCTGTTCTGATTTAGATCACTCATTTAGTGGACAATTTTAGGCATCATAGAACATTTTCGCTTTCAATACGGACAGAAAAAGAGGTTAGGACCTGCTTAGGACTTTAGTTTAACACAGTGGTTTGTGTGGTTAATTTGAGAAGTTTGCCCCTATTTGTTAGCTGCTGTAACTACAACGTTACATTGACTTGTTTCTCCATTGAAGGCCATTCAAAAGATCTTCTAATCAGAATATCTAAACATGCTTAACATAAAATTAATTTACCTGAGAAACAAAATTGTGTAAGACGTTTTCAGAGAATATATCCTGAATACCATTTATATTTTATCTCTCTATTGGTAAATAGTTTTTTTTAGCATGAACCTCAAGTTATACTGTACACTCTAAAAAATGCTGCAATTTTGGGTCAAATATGGACTAACCCAGCCGTTGGGTTAGATTTTTACATTAAATTTTTAACCCAAAAGTTGGGTTAATCCAAATTTGACCCAAAGTTGGGTTGAAATAACCCAGCATTTTTTAGAGTGTAGATGCATGTTTAAAATAAGAAATAAAACTAGGCTATTTGCCAAAATGGGATAAAAAATGGGATTGTGAAAATTTCATTCACAATATAAAATAATATCTTATTAATAAATAAATTAATAAATCTATTTAATATAAAATACATTTAAATCAAGATATATGCTCATATCACATATCATGCAAATGTGCTTAAAATTTGCTCAAGTAAATCAACATTTTGTGTTAAGCCTGTTAAACAAGGCAAAACGTGCATTTAGAACATTCATTTTTAAGTGTAAATAGAAGAAAAAGTCATTATATTATAGTACATTTTTTCATCAATGACACATTGCAACTTTCTAATGAAGCAGGTTCTGCATGTGCCAAAGGATATGCTATGTACGTTAATGGAAATCTTTATATTAGACCTTTTTGGCAGAGACAGATTGAATGAATCAATGAACGCGTAAAAGCAGCCATAAACACATAAAAACAGTGCTCTCTGGGAAAGACACAAAAAGCCAATCCAGTTGGTTGAGCTCTCTGAGGCCATGTTACTCTGGTTGGGCTAGATTTTTAAGTTTTTCCATCCAACTAGAGTTACTCAAACAAGAAACGACTAGACGTTTCTCTGCAGGCTATTTATACACACCCTGCATGACCCACAATAAATGACCAGCATCACTTTCACCCAATGTTTGACTCTGATATCAGCAGTCTGCATGCACACAAACACCATCACATGGAGAAATCACTCATTTACAACAAGTCATGCACTAGCCTGAAATGAACTGAAGCAATCCAAATGTTGACATTTCGAAGCAGTCATCCATGTTCTCTTATCATTGTGCAAAACTCACAGTGCAAAACAAGTTAGAGCCTGGCTTGTTGTGAGTGTTTAAGAGGAAATCCCTTCCTCAGACTGCATGTAAAGTTAGGCAAAGTTGAGTTATCTTAGTGTACTTTCTGACTTCCATTGGCCACAAACAGAAAATCCTTCAAGCAAAGACAATGAAACATTATCCACAGGAGAAAAAAATGCTCACTTCTCATATTTTGGCTTGGTGTAAATCTGTCTTCGTTCAACAAACCGGTCCAACAGCAAACCAGTATTGTCAGATGAGATATATAGATGGACAAAATGTGTTATACTCAAAATACATCACAATGATGAAGCCAGCAGTTATCAGACAATCCCTTATCAGTATTTACTGGAGTTGCCACCAAAGCATTTTCTATGCAAGATATTGAAAATTATAGCTGCTAATTACTCGAGAAACCTCCGAACAAAAAAATGTCCATAGTTTTAAATAAACTAGATTATTAAAAATGCATACTGTCTTTCTCTGCTCCAATCTGAGATCCAATCATTTTGACCTGGGATGGTCAAAGGACAGAGTTAATGTTCAAAGTAAGTGAGTTCACAGCATGTAAACTAAGCAGATCTGCAGACCTTACACTCACCAGGAACATATGCAAATTATTATACACAAATTTATCTGATGAGATTATAACATGGACAGTGCGTGTCTGGAGAGGAACAATATAACCTCTTATTTATCAGTCAGGTGCATTTCTGTCATGCTTCTCTGAATTTACATTTAGTTAGAGACTTTACCAATAACCAACGGCATTATATAATTAATTAGTTAATCAATTAAATGCAAATATCTATAAATAGAATCAAACTTATTCACATATTTTCAAATATATTCATATATTAATGTAAACGAGCTATATAAGTTAAGCATTATATGAGGTTATCTACTATTAGGGCTTTACATATATATATATATATATATATATATATATATATATATATATAAAAAAGCGGGGGAAAAAAAACCGGGGGAAAAAAAAGAAAAGCTACAACAGGAGCACAGTAATCTGCACCTGTTGGTTGGTAATAAGTAACTTATGAATAAGTGCATCTCACAATGAACCGTCTGTCTTTGAACCCTGTATAATTTCCAGCTGTGTGGGAAAAAAACAGACTATTTTGGCAGTTTAGTCCGGAGGTACTATTAAATATACAGAATGATTAACAAAATAAATATTACAACCGAAATAGGTATACCCTTTATTTACATTGGAGACTGAATGAATGTTGTCATTAGCATATTAAATACACAAATAGACAAGTTCAAATAATGTGCATTTACCTGTATAGTGATAAAATTATTCCATAAGATTGTACATATAGATTCCAAGCTCAAATACACGTCTGTGTCCTTTTGGGTTGTAGGTGTGCAGCTCAAACTTTAAAGAAAGGAGGGCGGGTCGTAAATGTAGGAATCCTACTTATCTCATGAATAATAATGTACGTTTCTTAGAAACGTCAATTGATAGCTAATATTCATAAGACTTCGGCAGAGTCATCCAATCATCAGACAGTTTGGTGAACGTCACGGTACGTAATTAATATTCATGAGCCAGAATCCTGTCACCAGCAGGCGCAGCTGCGGTGAGGTCTCGAGGTGTTGCGCGCGGCCACTCCACTCATAAACCTGCTCAGTCTTCAACCGGAAAAACCAGAATGGAACAAGAAAGACACGGGGTGTGTAAGAAAACTCCGTATGAGATGGGAGACATAAATATAGGTGCATGTTCCATGATAATCTATTCAGGCACAACGCGTGGGATCTAATTCATTTGGCGTGACTTTCTGACTTTAGAGTTAACATCAAACTTTGCACAGACCTGTAGTCTGTTCTGACACCATTTACTAGTTTCTACCTGATCGGGCAAACATTTTTTTTTCCCACAGTGGAAAATCATATTCCCAAAAACCCATAGACTTCTATTGTTATGTAAGTACAGGTGCATCTCAATAAATTAGAATGTCGTGGAAAAGTTCATTTATTTCAGTAATTCAGCTCAAATTGTGAAACTCGTGTATTAAATAATTTCAATGCACACAGACTGAAGTAGTTTAAGTCTTTGGTTCTTTTAATTGTGATGATTTTGGCTCACATTTAACAAAAACCCACCAATTCACTATCTCAACGAATTAGAATACTTCATAAGACCAATAAAAAAAACATTTTTAGTGAATTGTTGGCCTTCTGGAAAGTATGTTCATTTACTGTACATGTACTCAATACTTGGTAGGGGCTCCTTTTGCTTTAATTACTGCCTCAATTCGGCATGGCATGGAGGTAATCAGTTTGTGGCACTGCTGAGGTGGTATGGAAGCCCAGGTTTCTTTGACAGTGGCCTTCAGCTCAT